CATAACTCAATTTTATATATCAATTACAATTTATATTGTAATAATGGGAGATAACTCTATATATGAATTAAAGTTCATAGTGTAATAATGGGAGATAAATCAATTTAATATCAATTACAATTACAGTTTATATTGAAATAATGGGAGATTTTATACATCAATTACAAATTCTATTGTAATAAAGGGAGATAACTCAATTTAACATATCAATTACGTTTTCTATTGTAATAATGGGAGATAACTCTACATATTAATTAAAGTTTATATTGTAATAATGGGATATAACTCAATTCTATATATCAATTACAGTTTATATTGTAGTAAAGGGAGATTACTCGAATGTATATATCAATTAAAGTTTATATTGTAACAATGGGAGATAACTCAATTTTATATATCAATTACAGTCTATATTTTAATAATGGGAGATTACTCGAATCTATATATCAATTACAGTTTATATTGTTATAAAGGGAGATAACCCAATTTTTATATCAATTACAAATTATATTGTAATAAAGGGAGATAACTAAATTTAATATATCAATTACGTTTTCTCTTGGGTTAGGGTGAGAGATAACTTAATTCTATATACCAATTACAGTTTATATTGTTATAATGGGAGATAACCCTACATATTAATTAAAGTTTTTAGTGTAATAAAGGGAGATAACTCCATTTAATATATCAATTAATGTTTATATTGCAACTCAATTTTATATATCAATTACTTTTATATTGTAATAAAGGGAGATAAGTCAATTTAATATACCAATTACAGTTTATATTGTAATAAAGGGAGATAACTCAATTCTATATATCACTTACATTTTATATTGTAGTAAAGGGAGATTACTCGATTATATATATCAATTAAAGTTTATATAGTAATAATGGGAGATAACTCAATTTTATATATCAATTACAGTTCATATTGTTATAATGGGAGATAACTTAATTTAATATCAGTTACAGTTTATATCGTAATAATGGGATATAACTATGTATATCAATTAAAGTTTATATTCTAATGAAGGGAAATAACTCAATTTAATATTATTTACAGTTTATATTGTAATCATGGGAGATAACTCTATATATCAATTACAGTTTGTATTGTAATAAAGGGAGATAACTCAATTTTATATATCAATT